TCACGCATGCGCATGAAAGTCCCTTCTACCACTACGCTCAGTTTCCCAACCCCTTTGGCCATTACTTACAGCGGAAAAACTTAGAGTCGGATACTTTTTGGACAGCGGTGTATTGTTGTGTTTGAGAAGAAGAAACAAAACTCATATATAGTACTACCACATAACAGAATGCATCCCTTAAAGATTACAAAGCTTTTTCGAACTGAGAACTATTTAGAATCCAGTGGGATGGTGATTATTAATATTAAAGGTAAAGGGAAAGAAAGCTGTCCCTGTAACAGGCCATGGAGACCCATAGGGTTGTGAGATGTTGAGGGTCCCACATCATCTAGACAATCGACTCAAAGATGGCGGTAAGGCTGTCAGCCTTAAGCGCCGGCCGCCCTTTACCCCCCAGGAAGATTCCTAGTACTCATTTCTGTTAGAGGCTGAGTAGACTCCAGGGCCTTAATGCGGCTGGAAGGATTAGGTAAATTGAAAAAGAGATACACCTGATCGGGACTCGAACCCGCGACCTTCCGGTATGTAGCATAGTGCCTCAGCAAACTAAGCTACTGCTTACCCCGATTATTAATATTAAAGTCAGAAAAATGAGGGGCAAAATTTTCCCTTGCTCTCTTCAGATATAATGACTCTATTTGTCTGGGCAGAATGAAAAGGAAAAAAAAAATAGATTTAGTCAGATTAGCCTGATAAAGGCGGACAGGAGTACATGAATTATGACAAACGGAAGTATGTAGGTTTGGTCATCCCTGGTGTACGTGGTCCTGCTGAGTGGTCAGTGTGTGCTTCGTCGTGCCCAAGAGAAACCCCGAGATCTATCTAGGCCTGCGGACAGGGCAGGGCGTGGACTGCATGAGTCCTCTCTCTCTAGCCTGGGGCTCAGACTGGGGCGTGAAATCACAACGTAGATCGAACCAACGCATTGTTACGTACCTGTCCGTCTGTCTTATGCCATAAAAAAATGGAAGAAAATTTCAGAGTAAGGATGAATTAATGTTTCCACCCGGCAGACAATTAAAGTGTGCTTCAGAGCTCTAATTATTGTCTGATTTATTTTCATCCGTTGACAGCTAAGTGGAGAGTTACGAATCATCAACATGGTTTTTGTTGCTGTACATGTACTGGATAGAACTGGCCCAAGATAGGACCCAACAGCAGCATTTCATAAACACAGTGATGAGTGATGAATACTACTGTCTTCTGGGCTGTGAGACCGTGTAGTTTGGTAGATGGATATCTGCTTCGAAGGAATAGACTGCTTTCATAGTCAGAGTAGTGTCTTGTACCCTGAGGATGGAGGCAGTAGGTTCATAGGAAATACTGATCACGATCTACCACACTATACGACGTAGGATCACATAAAACTTAGTTGGCGCATTGAGAATTTCAGATACCGCACAGTGATGAGCCTTCGGATTTTATGAAAATAGAGAACTGTTATGCCTTTGAGGGCGCCCGAAGACAGATCGTTGATGGGAATATATGGACACGAGTAAGACCGGAGAAATCAGCCTAATAGGCAGCTCATAATCGGTATTAATCGCCTTCTATCATTCTAGTGCTTATTTGAAGGAGGATGAGATGAGGGATTACAGGGAGTATTAGACGTGGATACACAATTTTGGTTCTGAAAACTTAACGGAAGGTTGCCACTTGAGGAACCTGTTCCCAACGAAACAGGATTCACAGTCACATTCACTAAAACAGAATCCCAGTAACCTGAGTGCAGGAGTGTACTACGTACATCACCACTTTTCTGTACTCTGTGTTTTAAATTAATTTTAACTGCAGTTTAAATCTGGCATTGGACAAAATACTTTCACGTGTATGTATGACTATCGACGGGGTCTTTTCCAGGCTGCTGTCTCTTCACTAGACGTTTCCTGGTAACGGTTTCTAAAAGTGGATATTTTTCAGCATCCATGCTGAAGCTCTCTCGGAACGGTCTCTCCCTTCCAACTCTCTCACATCTGAGGTACGTTGCCCAGATTGTCTTCCTTATAACTCCTGGGCACGGACCTTGTAGACAACACGGGTTGCGTAACCCAAATTATTAAGGCGCTGTTCATGATGTGCATGTATTGACCGTCTTGTAGTGCACACAATCTCACTTGTCACTTCACTACATGTTTCGGCATCACTGTGCCATCCTCAGGTGTGTTATTTACGTTAAACTACTGCAATGCTCGCCATCATGTTTCGTTTATAAAATGATTTAAAATGTATATTCGTCATGTACTGTAATAAAATTTATATATTAAAATTTTTGTTAAGATTTATCATCTTAAACGTTGTATTTAAAACTCGCGTATTATATCCATCGTTCGCTATGGGAGTCGTTATTCCTATATTTTGTGTATACCTGCAACGTGAAAATGTTACTTATTAATGTTACGTTTTGACTCTGTTGCCTTAACAACGGGTGTTTTTCGCGAACGTTACCCTTCAACGGGTCTACACGCTAAATACGTGAAGCCTCACACTTTCAAGTACGTGCAGATAGTTCAGTACAATAGACAAAATCAGAAAAACTGTCATTACTCCACGTTTCTTTCCAAAAGTGGAGACCATGCACTCCATTATCCCTATGAAGATATGAACCGAAGTAAATCCATAAAAAAATTGCATAAGTTTCGGAAATGCAAATAACGATCACTTCTCTTAATTCATTCCAGCTTATTTAACTGAATGCTTTGTTTGGGGTCAAATGTTGGCAGGTATGGGAATGTGGAAAGACTGGATATGACTTTTCTCAAAGCAGTGTACATCCAGATGCAGTTAACTTGACATTCCTGAATTTGCAAGAATGCCACGACCGGTCATGTTTATATTATTCTGACCTCTGAAACTCATAGTATAGTATTTTATCTTACTTGATTTAGAAATGTCAGTCATAAAATGAATTAATATTCATTTCGTTTGCCAGAATTGAGGTCATCCTTTAAATGGTAGCACGAGGACCCGACCGAGATTCAAACCCGGTATGTCCCGTGTAGTTGACACAGCTACTGCACCTTGCCGCTCTCTATGCTCAGTTGTTTTACAAACCATTTACAGGTTTTGGGTATTGACCGCACCACACCCTTCTGCCCCCTGTTGACTTGAGTTTGAAGACAGATTCAAAAGAGACAAATGAGTTTTGACATTAACCACAAAACAGAGTAGGTGTCTTCCCCCTCACCTGAGGACTGATACAGATCCAGTTTCCGAAACTTTGTGTTCTCTGGTTTCTAGAATACTGGACGATGGACAAAGCCCGGAAACCTAGTAATTCTGAGTGTTATACACCATCGTCAGAACGCTTTAGAATCTAGTAAAAAATACACAGGTTGTGGTTCCCTGACTTCGGAGGAACCTGCTGCTTTCATCTTCAGGATACACTGAAAGCTGAGCAAATATGTTCCTTCTATTCAGTAGAAAAACAGCCTGAGACTAAATCGTGTCATATCGCAGAAGATGACTAGTATATACATAGTTTAATATATTTGATCAAAGCTTTGCCAGGCATGGCTCAGTAAACAGTTCCCAACATGCAACATTATAGGGTAAACTGTTTATGTGGTTTGCGCCAAGCAACAATAGAACAACGGGTTTATGCAATCCATTTCTAGGCAACGGCTTGGTAAACATATTTCCGCACATCGGACCGTACTATGCAATACGGTGACGTCATCAAAAATGTTGACTATGTTTTCCGTGGGGTCGGTACAGAGTGCTTATAAGAGAAGTGAATTCAGAAGCAAGTCTACCCCCGTTTGGAGGTGGGGTCGAATACCTCCACCGTGACCCTGCGAGTAGTAGGAGGCGACGAAAAGGGAAGTCTCAAATCAGAGACAGTAAAATATGGTCGCGAGTCCCAAGGGACTCAGACCCTAGAAAGACTGCACTGGCAAGGACCAGCAGCATATACAAAAGGCAGACCCCGTCTTCTCGTCAGAGAGGGAGCCCCACAAAAAACAAGACCGTAAATGCCAAACAGTAATAAATATCTGGTCATGAGCCCCAGATGGGACTCGACACCAAGACTTACTGACTGACTGGCCGTTAGTTGCAATGTGACTTGGGCTTGGACTTGGAAGCAAGTCTAGTTCAGGGAATTTAAGAGTCAGTTTGTAGTAGAATTAGAAGTCGGCCTGTGAAGGCTTAACGTGTGATTTGAAGACTTATGTGTGCTATAGTGTAGTGATATCTGGAGTGTGACAGTCATAGTTCCTATATTAAAATCCGTTGCCAGGAAACGGAAGGGATAACTTTGCAGAGGAATAGTCATTTTTTTAGATGTTACCTAGTACCGAATAGTGTCAGCAGATACAGCAGATTTTATTTATGTGTTATGATTCCGGTAATCTTGAAAGTGCTATAATTACGACTAGTGAATAGCCAATAAATCGATTCACTGATCCAAACCCACGTCCTTAGTCACTAATACATGTGACAATACAATTCTCTATATTTGCTATTCTAAAGTTATTAATTAACATCATTCAGAATGCGCAAACACAAACGAGCACTTGCATGACAATATGATATGAACATAACTAGCGGAGTAACATATTAACAAATTAACAAACTAACTAAGTCACTGAACTGCTGAATAATTCTCTTCCCTTCTCGTATAGCCTAAATATTCTTCGTCAAAAAAGGTAAAAAAAAGTACATGGCAAATATATTATAATGAGTAATAAGTATCCGAGCGAATCTGACGAGAGCATTCAGAACATCTTCTTCCGTATCTTCAAGAATTCTTATAGGAGAGTGTGGATTTATCTGGTTCAGGACAGGGAACGGTAACGTTAAACAAACTTTGGGTTTAAAAATGTTCTCGAGTTGCATTGACTAGTCAAACAACTATCAGCATGTCAGGAAAGGTTATGCTCTATTGAGGTAGATGTCATTACCACCTTCTTCGAGAGTGAGAATGCGCAGAACAGTGCCTCCACTCCTCCTTACACCATCATGACATGATTACAGCAAAGGAGTATTTCACTTGTACTTACCGTTACGAGACCCGATCTGGAGATCTGAAGACAGTAAGGGCAGAGAAAATATGTTCACCGAAACCGCGATTGTTGGGGATGCACTACTCCATGTTACTTGACGGTGAGTGTTAATGTTCCAACAGGCCTAAAAATAACAGTGCTGCAAAAACAAGAATGCAAGTCATTCGCCATGAAGAACACTTGTTTGTGCAATTTCAGTGGACAGCGCTAAGCAATATTCCAAATAAAAATAGAGCAATAAATGATATAAAGCAAAGCAGCCTGCTAGATGCGGACTTGCTAAGGCCGTAGAAGGAGATAGCTCTATCAGTTTAATAATTCAAGGACACTGGAAATCGTGCGTGAGGTTTATTACACATCGGAATGGATACAGCTAGAAACAAGGAGGCCGAGAGGCAATTATAACGTAATGGACCACTAAATTAATTTCCTTGTAATTATTTTGTAGGAGCAAAACGACATTTTTCCATTATTGGAAGGTGACGAAATGTCACGCGGATAGCTGAACTATAAGCCACTTTTCTGTCCTTGTGCTTGGTCAACAGATGCGCGTCAGCGCACAGGCGATGCTCTTTTGATGGATTTCAGTGCCTGCGGCAGAACCGTGCGTAGTCAAACCTTTTATTTCTGTTTCCCACACCGAATTATAGTAATAGTTCTCCCGCAAGATGGCACTGGAAACAGTTTACTGCTTATATGTTGGATTTAAAGTATTGGGTAATTGCAACAATTCAGGTTCTTACTGTAAAAATTGCTGCAATACGGGATGTCACGCAGTGTAGGGTGGTAGCTAGTCACCGGCGTTTCGGATGAATCTATCTCCAGATGAATCCTGCACCCAGACAACTATAATCATCAGTTGAAAACTTCCTTCAAGAGCAATGTTATTATTATTTTAGTAGTAGTAGTAGTAGTGCCGGTCACGGTAGCCGAGCGGTCTAAGGCATGCACTGTCTTCGCTCGCTCGGAAGCCGGGATCGTGGGTTCCAATCCCACTCAGGGCATGGATATTTGTGTGCGTTTTTCTGTGTTTGTCTACAGGTAGAGGCCTTGCGACTAGCTGATCACTCGCCCAATGAGTCCTACCGAATGTGTAAGATCTAGAAAAACCGAAGTGAACGGAGAAGTTCATGGAGGTAGGCCTAGGCCCACTGGGGCTGTAGTGCCAAGGGGAAAAAAGTAGCAGCAGCAGCAGCATTATTTCTTTGTGAGCGAACTTAAGAGCTCAAGGACCAATTACATACTACTAATGACGTATTCCATTTCAGGAGTGCTGAAGATAAGATTTCGCTGATCACAGTGGCCGCGCGGCCTGAGGCATGAACCGTCTTTGCCCGCTCAGCACTGGAGTGTGGGTTCCAATTCCACTTCAAGCATCTCCATCTTGCGACGGGCTGATCTCCCGTCCAAAGAGTCATACCGACTGCGTATAGGATTAAGAAACTGAAAAAGCGGCCAAGGTCCAAGATGCTGTACAGACATAGAGGAAGAGAGAGAGAGAGATAGAGAGATAAAGAAGAATTTTATTCGCCTTCGCTTATTCTCTGAGCACAAGTTGTCAATTCGTACGATCCAAACTATTGCAAAGTTTTATTTCTTTTGCGTTATCATGGTGAAGGAAAATGTGTTGATTCACAATGACTGACGCTGCTCCCTGAAAACATACAGAAAATTAGAACTACTATTCCGCCATACGTTGCAACGCTCTGTAGTGATAAAGGGATCTAATCTATTCATACCTTCGGGCACGAGGACTTTTATGTGACATTCTGTTTCTGGAAACACAATGGAGATAGCATGTTAGTCCAGATTTTCCGTCTTCCAAATCATTTGACGAATTTTAATTACTGCAAATTTGAAAAAGAAAAAAAAGCCGTGTCATAAAATAAATTTTGATACCTACATTTTCATTTTTATCTGTCCACTAAATTTCTTTCTTACATGTAACGAAAATCCAACAGAATAAAACAAAATATAATCATAGAGAAAAAATTCCCCACAAGTGTTTCGTCGCACGCATCTCTGTATTTCTTCAGAAAATATTACCATCGCCATCAACGTCATGAACCGTTCGCTATTGATAAGAAATATCCAGATGTATTTCACTTCTCCGCGTTTATTTTTCGGGCTCCAAGAATTTCTACGCCTCCAAACTGTGAGTATTGCAGTGTCTGCTTTGATGCTGTAATCCACATTAGTCTTCACCGCACATATCGCTCTATATTGTCATGTACATGTGTGACTATCGACGGGGTTTGGAATGGGCATTGGATTTATTGACCCTTTTAACATAATCGTCATAATTACACTTAATTATTGCGCAATCGCTGATTTTTTCACTATACCAAATCAAGCTAAGTTTTTCCAGCCCGCAGTGTCTTCACTCGTAGTTGCCTGGCAACGGCTTCTAACAGTGGTTATTCCTCAGCTTCAGTGCTCAAGACCCCTCTGAAAGTTGGCTCCCTTCCAGCTGTGTATTCTTGCTTCAACTGTCCTCCTTATGACCCCTTTGCAAGGACCGAGTAGGAAACATAGTTTCCAACAGTACCTCTATTGTTGAACGCATATTCGTTGCCACGGGAGCGTGTTTACCGAGCCGCTGCCTAGAATCGGCTCCATGCGCTATAATATTAAAACTAAATCTGTTCGTATCTATCAGTTCTACCGACACTTCACCCCCTTAGCGGCATGAGAATTAACATTTGACAATATAGTCCTTAGGTTTTAGAGGCCTTGATTTAATGCGCAGATGTCCAAAGGCCAATACAAAGACGTTCGTCGCCCTGCCACCTCATATGTCGTGAAGACGCTGACTACAATGTACGTCGAAACGCTGGAATGTCTTCAGCATCCATCGATAACCCCTCAAAACATATTTTTTAATTGCGAGGACTATGAAGTATCCATCTACTCGTATTTCTCTACAGCCTTTGTGGACCTCGGCTGCTTTTCAGTTTCTTAATCTTACACAGTCGGTATGATTTTTGGGCGGGGGATCAGCCCATCGCAATGTCCCTACCTATACACACACAGACATCCATGCCTCGAGTGTGATTCGAACCCACGGTCCCAGTGTTCCAGCGGCGAAGACAGTTCGTGACTTAGACCGCGCGGTCACTGTGATCTGCGATTATTTAACTACACACTCTAAATGAGTTGTTGCAAAAGGGAGTAGCGTAATATATGTACTATTTATTAGCATATGTAGCAAGAAAAGTCAGCGTGTATCTCTATTCAGTTTATTATCTGTACATCTTCCTTAAGAGTTTATTTGCATCAACAATATCTTTTTCATTGGCAATCGACATAAGAGAACCGGAATATCTCATGCATTTGGGAATGAATAGGCCTGTATGTTATGTGAAAGCAAGATTACATAAGTATACCTAGAAAACTCTCTTAATATTTGTGACAATGATTTAATCATTATACAAATATTATATTAAATAATGTTCCTTATGCAAGGCAGAGATGTCCAATTTTATAAGTATATATGGACGCAGATTCAGCTAGCATAAGATCTTAGATTAGGCTCAACAGTTTTAACCCTAACCATATTTGCTAACTACTAAATCATATTTTCAGATTCTGAGTGATACACTAAGGGCAATTGCAGACGCACCATGGTAAGTGAGCAACCTTACACCCCATAACGACCTAAATATACCCTTCGTCAAAAATGAAATACTAAAAATGGCTGAAAGGTACAAAACCAAACTGTAAACCATGACAACGGATTAATAGAAGTGCTGTACACCGACGCTCCAGTGACAAGAGGACTGAACAGAACATGGCCCCAAGACATCATCAACCAATGAAATAGACTATATGTAGGAGAAACATCTCTGGATGTTCCCCTTGTAAGCTAACCACCTACAACACATTTACTTAATCATCTGTAATGATGTAGATTGCAAAGAAAAAGAATAAAAAAGAGATCCTGAGTGAGATTTACAAACTGCTACTCATCAGTTACAAGCCATAACAATACCTACAATCTGGAAATTTTAACAAGGAAAATATCGTTATTGCATTTGAAGGTAAGTACCCACTTAGACGGAAAATTATAATAAACTATAAATTAATGGAAGAAATTCAGAACTTATTGTGAAATGCCGCCTAAAAGCCGTATATCGGAGTCGCAGCGGGCGTCCATTGCCAGCCAACGGCTCCGTAACATGTTTCTCCTACAGCAGGGAGCAGTGAATGCAAGGTCGTCTGGGTGAAAATTGTAAATGCGTTCACGTGACAACGCGTACGTAGGCAGACTGTTACCACGGAAATGACAACCAGAACTCTTCAAGGAGGTGTCTGCTAACCCAGCCGCCCAGCAGGTATAAATGGGTGCCAGTTCAGAAGCCAGAAGCGAGGATCCAGATACAGTAGTCAGAAGAGGGGGCAGAAGCGCAGTCAGAAGTGCAGTCAGAAGTGAAGGAGCGTCCTTTCGAGAGGCAGAAATCGTTCAAGCAACAGACGTTGAAGACCTTGTTTTGAGTCTTATAGTTAAAAGTAATTCGAGTGTGTTATAATTTTCTGAAGTTCCGCCTGGTGAGATTATCCAGTAAATCGATTCGTATAATCTGAAACCCGACCGCATCTTGGGTCTAGTGATCACAGTTCCTGGCTACAGATCCAGACGTCCGGGTTCGATTCCAGGCTCTAACAGATTTTCTGAGAAGTTATGGGTCTAGAACGGGGTCCACTCAGCCTCGTCAGGATGAATGAGGAGCTATTTCAAGGAAATAGCGGCTCCGGTCTAGAAAACCGAATTTAACGGCCGTGGGGATTCTTTGCGCTGACCACGCGACACTCTCTCTCCGCTAAAAGTTGGTACTAAGTTCGCCGACAAGAGGCGGTCGTTCGGTCGGTATAGTTCGCCTGTGAACTCAAGCCACGGAGTTTGTTTTTAGTTTTAATCTAAAACCCATTAAACATCTGTCGCGTTACCAGATTCGTAACATTTTATTACCTCGTCTGCGACATATCAATATATGTGTGGAAAATACACAGAAGGCTAAAAAATAAAACGAGAAAAGGACACACGTAGTTAATTTTATAAGGCAATAGCAGCTCATATGGTCATGTATGGAAGTGAAAACTGGGCTTTGAATATATCTGAAAGGAGGAAAATTGAAAAAGCTAAAAACGTGCTTTTAAAGGCGCGCCTATGAATATACGCTTATAGACCAAGCATGCAATATAATACGGAACCCATTATAAACATATGCTGTAGGAGAAAGAATGCAAGACTACAAGAGCAAGTGCCATAATCATATCTTAAAAACTGACTCAAAAAACCGACCCAAAAGTTGAGAATTACCAAGCAGACGGAAGAAGAAATGTTGGACGACCAAGAAGGCGATGGGGAGATGGTCTTTGAGATGGAATGGGCTAATAAAAATCTACCTTGAAGCAGATGATGATCATGATGATGATGATGATGATGATGATGATGATGATGATGATAATGATGACGACGACGACAACGACGTTTTTGTCTGAGGTATGTTTGACATCTGGCAGTCAGTTGAAATTACGTACGATTTAAAGCACAAGGGGCCTGTGTAATAGCTCTTGTACTAATTAAGATTTATTACGTCTTGATTTGTACTTTAATATTGCTTACTATAAATACAATGAAAGAACACGTCGAACATAACTTCCGTAAGATAAGAGCGTTCACGTGTTTAGGTTATGTTTGTATGTATTTACGTATGTATGTATGAAAGTTCCAAAATACTTATTATAGTTCAGCATCCTGTTGCATTGTGGCACCACTTTTAGATCGTAAGTGTACCGTCCATCATGCAACAACCTTATAAAAGAGACACTAAAGATATATTTAATACACTAAAAGTGTTTGTTAAATACTTTAAAATGTCATTAAACTTACAGTGTTTTCTTCTGTTAGTTTTGATTCTAGTGATTGGATATGTTTGTAACGGTTGACCAGATGTTTTATACCTGAGAGAATATGTTTGCATTGGTGACATGAGCTGTTAGGTATTATAATATCAGTCTGTGATGGTTCCTCTATATTGAAAATTCTAACTATTTATCCTTTCGGCGTATACTAATGTCTAAATAAATTATTTTTGTGTTTTTCTTTTTCCATTGTAAATCTTATGGATGGTTGTATGATATTAAATTTATAAAGTTTCGTTTTATGTTTCTTTTGTTTTGGTCATACATTATAAGTACGTCGTCAACATACATACAATATGAAACTATTTCATGTGCTATCAGGATTCGATATAAATATTCATGTTCCATATGTTGTATGAAGATCTTTGCTAGTATTGCCGATGTTGGGGCGCCCATGGCTAGCCATTCTGTTTGTTTATAATAGTTTTGGTCAAATTGGAAGTAATTCTGCTGCATTACTACTTTGAGTATATATAAGTGTGTTGCCAAATATTTGCATTGTGTAAGTGGATGTCTGTTTAACATTTGTTTATTTTTATATACGAATTTTATTCCATTCTTAATGCTTTCTGTGTTTGTGTTAGTGTTTTTCTAATCCCTTCGTTATTAATTTGGAATTTAATCTGTACGTATTTTGGTATTTAAACATGTTATGTTAAAATTTATATTTGCGTTACAGTGCAATAATTTCCCCGTACAATTCATGTACTTATATATGCTGATAGTATTTCTTTTTAAATTCGCTTAGTGGGGGATCGAGTCCAGCTGGGTCGACTCGGCACGGCGGCCACTGATTGGCGTATTGTACCTGCCCCGGGTGATTATGATGGAGAATTTGGTGGAATGAAGATTGGCAGGGGAAACCGAAGTACTCGGAGAAGACACGCCCCGTCGCCACTTTGTTCACCACAAATCCCACTTGACCAGACCCGGGGTCGAACACGGGCCGCCGCCGTGAGAAGCCAGCGACTAACCGCTTGAGCTAGGGGTGGCCTTATGCTGATAGTATGACTACTCATAATATTATATTTCAGCATCCCGTTGTATTGTGGTATCATTTTCACATGCCGTCTATAAGGCAAAAATAACCTTATATAAAAACACTGAAATGTTTGTTAATTAATTTCTAATATCATTGAACTTATACACCCATTCCTTATGGCAACGTGTTTCGGCCACACATGAACCATCATCAGGCAACATTTTTTTTATTAGGAGACCACTGCACTCTACATTTTGTCTTCTGTGCCCTTATGCACATCGTTGTTTCTGTTGTTAGTTTCTTTCGTAGAGTATTTCCATTGCATCTTGTCTTGCGGTTATTTCACTGTAATGTATATTGGTATAATTTTATCTTTCTGCTATCTCTATATGTTCAGATGTTAAATTTCTTTGTACTTACGTAAGTTTGTGTCGTTTTCTTTGTTGTGTATGCTTTTAGTGCTGTCTTCCCTTATACTGGCCCTAGTGCAGTTGCTCTCGCTTATAAATATCTTTCAAGGTAGTGTATGTACTGCTACCTATCGCAAAGTTCACGTACTGTTTGATATATTGGGTTATGTGCTTAGATGTGTACGTCGTTTATCTGTAAATTGTGCCTGTATATTTTGTAAATATGATACTTTTGTAAAGTGTCTAAGCATCTGCTCTTCTTTCCGACCCTTATGACGTGCATAGTGTCCGTTACTGTGCGATATGTGTGTCCCATATGCAATATATGATTCGAATAACCGAATTTACTACAATTACTTCTAATGGCTTAAATTTGCTCTTTATATCTTGGATTAAACTTTCTTCCAGCTCAAAAAATATATTTCAAGGGGCAAGCCAAGCATTTGATCTGATATATGCTACTATTGTTATATTTGTCGATCTATGTGTGATGTTTCAGTGTATTGTTGATTGTGTTTTTCGTACGAAAAGCTATTCTAAGTTGCGTGTTTTTTAATATCTTAATTATTTGTCTTACGTGTTTACCGCAATATGTGAATATGGCCCATTTTGTTTTCTGGTGTTTTTGAACTTCATGTAGGTTTTGTTTACGTGGTATCAGTTTCTCGATCAGATTTGCATTGTATTCATTTACTCTAAGATGTAATCTAAGATATAAAGAACATGCGATTATCGAAAAGGACTTCGAGGGCTTGCCAGTTTCCTTTCTTAGCGCATAATTTCTCAAATAACACCTATATATTTTACTTCGAAAACAAATTCTGCTTAGGCACCCTTAGTTAGTTATTGGAGAGGGTGGGTTTCCCCATGCACTTAGACCTGTCTTGGTCCATTGTGCTTCCCTCTATGATATTCTACCAGTCTCTATATTTTACCGATATTGGTGCGTACCATCAGTCCCGACCGAGACAGCGAGTTCGGCCTCCACTAGCTTGGCGGTATCTATAATGCTTCCCCCATCTATCAGAGGTGTTAGAGACTACTTGTTGGGCGGGAAACGTCCTTGAATTTGGCTCAGTGACCTCCTTTGGAGATATGAGGTTCTTTTACGTGCCGTAAAGCTACGACACGGGACACACGGCTTAAAGTCCCTCCCAGAGGACTTGTTCCCTGAATTTTTCCGCCCTTAAAAATTCGACGACCTCTGCCGGGTTTGAACCCGCGTACCACGAGTCATGAGGTGGCAACGTTACCTCTAGACTACGGAGGCCGCTTTAGGCACCTTTAGTAAAATATCTCTTGCACTCCACTTATTGATTATTATTATTATTTTAAACATAATTACTATAATTTCAATGTGATGAATGTTGGCGACGTTTGTTATAATTTCTTAATATTTTAGAGTGTTTGCCAGGAAACGCGACAAGAAATTGTGTGGGTTCTCGGATTTGAACAAATACCTTTATTGGACAGTCACTTTTATACTCGAACTTAGTTATTCTCCATTTATAACGTCCTTTAGGCGTTTCTCCTTCAGTGTTACAACACTTCTGCTCCGCTATCTTGGTGAAGTGTCTTACCTCGGAGCTCAACTGTTCTTGGCCCCTTGTCGGTTAAGAACTCTTCTGTTCTAAGATCAAATACAAACTGAACAAGTCTCAAAGCCACGCGAATGACAGTCAGTCAGTCAGTCAGTAAGTCTTGGTGTCGAGCCCCATTTGGGGCTCATGACCATATATTAATTATTACCGTTTGACAGTTACGGTCTTGTTTCTGTGGGGCGCCCTCTCTGACGAGGGGACGGGTCTGTCCTTTGTATATGCTGCCGGTCCTTGCCAGCAGCATATGCACGCTAGAACTAGTCTCTGTCGCAGTTGGACTCTCATAACGTGGACTCGGACTAAATATGGAATACCTTGTTGAAGCGTTAATTCCGCCCGTTGTTATGCAAACACTAGCCGTTGTCATGCAACTGCGTCGAACAATTCGTTGCTTAGGTTTGCTAGCGTTCTCTTTCCTAGGCGATGTAGCCGGAACGTTGATCGTTGCCTAGGAAATCAACCTTGATCTCCTCAACCATTCCGGCTTTCTGGCGGCACGCCATGTTACATTATCGCAAAGATAATTATCTATATGAGCCTTTTCCAAGGCAGTAGTCGCGGCTTCCCTGGAGGCCGCTGTAAAATGAACCCTTAACAAAAAATATGCGGAATTAATTTTAATCCCACGATGCCACGATAAATTACAAACCTGCAATTTAATGCAAAGCGTATACTTTTTTCACCCCCTGGCACTACAGCCCCAGTGGGCGTATGCCTACCTCCATGAAATTCTCCGTTCACTTCGGTTTTTCCAGATCTTACACATTCCATAGGACTCCTTGGGCGGGTGATCAGCTCGTTGCAAGGCCTCTACCTGTACAAAAACACAGAAAAACGAACACACACAAACAAACCATCCATGCCCTGAGTGGGATTCGAAACCACTATCCCGGTTTCCAAGCGAGCGACGACAGTACATGCCTTAGACCGCTCGGCTACCGTGACCGGCAAGCGTATACTTTACAGAGTAGAATTCAAATTCGTTTGTAACTATTTTTCAGAATACGATTACAACATGTTACAAATAATTTTTGAGGTTGAGGAATTCAATTCTTTTATTCACGACAAAGGAGCCTCAGACGAAATGAATTTGGGACCCACTGGTTTAAGCTATCACAAAATTATACGGGCTTGTACTTTATCTTTCATGCATCAGCATCTTCCAGCCATCGCGAGTAGGCGTTCAGACTTATGTTGCTATCAAGAGCCAGTTGCGTAACACTAATTATTTTACGATGTGTATTATGCTTTTGAATAAAATTCTGTGATGTTTATTTATGTCTTCTTTTCTTCCTGCCTCTCCCACTTTGGAACATTGGGCTGATTTCTCAGTTTCATGATCAATTTACAGTCGGTAGGACTCCTTGGACGGGTGATAAGCCCTCGCAAGGCCTCTATCTAAACACAGGACAACACTAACACAGAATAAACGCACACACAAACATCCATACCTTTGTGGAATTCGAACCCATGATCCCGGCTTCCGAGCCAGCGAAGGCAGTACATGCCTTATTTTTTTATTGCTAGTGAGGTGGAACTAAGTCCCATGCACTGCGGCCACTTCTGGCCTATTGTACCAGCCCCAGATGATAGGTGAGGGTGATTGTGAAGCAATTGGTGGAATGAAGATTAGCAGGGGAAACCGAAGTACTTGGAGAAAACCTGCCCCAGCTCCACTTTGTCCACCACAAATCCCACTTGACCAGAACCGGGATCGAACCAGGGCCGCCACGTTGGGAAGCCAGCGACTAACCGCTTGAGCTACGGCAAGACCAGACCACGTCATAAGAGCGTTACCGCTATACTAATGGGCTTGTTGAGTGTAATAGTAAAATAGGGCCAAATTGTTCTTTGAGAAGTGTTATTTTCTGTCTTACCAATTGACGGAACGACTGAGCTCCTCAACGGGCTTGTATGACAGCCAACCCGAAATGTGTCCCTCTGCGTAGGACACAAAACTAGAGGTGAGATGAATGCGCAAAAGAATCGGGCATGTGCGCCCCAGTTTACGGACACTGAAGCGTAGCTAGGTCTTACCTCATATTTCAGCAATGAGATATTCGCCTTGGAAACGAACTCTCTTTTTTGCCTGGTTTCATTTTGTCCGCTCTATGATAGACCAACCTACACGTAATCTTGATGTCCTCAGATCAATGAACTTAGAAACTGGATACACTGAGTCTAGGTTCCATCCGATCTAAAATGATGGGCCATGAAATATTACTAGTGTAACGCAATTTCTGTTATTTTTAAAGCCCGCTCACGCATACAGCCTTCAGGACGAATAAGAGGAGCTGTGGACAAGCTTATTATAACTTATGTCGGGCGACGCATAGGATACGCCCCAAACAAATGAAAGAACGTGCTCGCACGTTCGGGAAATTCCCGGAGAGCCTTGAGGCGCACCAACCCGGATACTGTGGGCCTCGGAAGAAAAGAAAAAGGAGTGAAACTTTGGCGGTGAGGGGGGGAAAAAACTGGCCACGCAAAGTGAGAGACAAAGAAAGCAAGAAATCATTTTTGTGAAGGTCGGTGCAACGTGATGCGTTGTCGTGATCCGTGACCAATCAGATATGACCTCTGCGACTGACGTCAATGATAAACGATTACCTGATTGGACACACACTTTCCTACTGGATCCTACGAGCAATAGATTTTGTCGTGATCTAGTCAAAATTGATAAGCAACTTGTCAATTAACATTCATGACGTTCTAGACGCATCGGGTGTTTAAAAACGCATGCGTTGCTGGAATAAACACTGTGGGGGATTCCGCTGCTTTTGGTTACAAATATTTTGGGCACCGTTGGTGCGAAAGGTTATAGCGATGTTCCGCCTTGATCTCACGTGCATTTGTTTATTTATTTTTGGTCTATTTAACGACGCATGGGCTTGCTAACGTGATATAATGTAGAATGACCGGATGATTAGTAATGTATCGGAGAGGAAGTGAAAGCATGCAACCTCTCAGACCATCTCAGACCAAGACCTCTCTAATATCAAGCAGAAGTGGTAACCGCTCGACCTCATTGTTCGGAATCGAATAAGGTGAAATTATAATTGCATCTGGAGTAATAGAAATTACTTGCAATGACGCAGTAGGGGCGTATGTAAAAAATTTTCAGCGCATATGTTCCACTGAAAACCTTTACGACCATCAGCCATATGTTTACCCACTTAGGATACTGCACTGCAGTACACGCAAACACGACAAACGTATCGAAAAGGACAACTGAACACTAACAGGTTTGTGTTGTATCCAGTGAGTACGAGGGAGAGTCAATAAATAAGCCACAAATGGAAGTAAAACAGCTGTAACGGAAGTAATAGATTTTCTGTGTGTATCACTAGATAGCAGCACAGTCCACCTTCCTGACAGTCTCTGTAGAAGACGCGCGTGCGTACTTTCAGGGGCTGATTTCAGTTGTCAAAATGGTGACCGTGCCTGAGGAGTATCCTACCGAAGAGTAGGTCTCTAATGTGCGCAATTTGTGGGTAAAAGAGCTCAGTGCAAAAGATATTCATAAAGAAATATTTCCTGTTTACAGTAGTAAGTGTTTGTAGCATAAAACGGTTCACAACTGGGTCGAGAAATTACCACCTTAGAGGCAAATGTTTTGCTAATGATGAAGACGTTGAAACGGACATGCGGAAGTGACAGAGACAACAGTAAAAAAATTCTGTGTTCCGGGTATCGAAGCAGTGGTAAAGCGATGGGATAAGTGTCAGTATTAGTGGAGTATATGTCGAGAAATAGGGTTTTTTCCAGATTCGAAAATCACATGTTTTACGTTTCATATCCATTTGTAACCGATTTACTGACTCTCCCTCGTAGGCAGTTTGAGGCTAGATAGGAGAAACTTCATTGCCCAGCGACTGTTTATTTGAGTAGAGCGTATGTCCTAGCATTCTAATTGTCGATTGATAACCATCTTCACATCAAATCGGGTAATAATATTCGCTAAAATTCATACAGTGTTATTAAATACTTACAACTTAATTACATCCGGTGTTAAATAATAATAATCACAACTACAAATTCTTCGATAAAAAGCGCCTCTTGTGAATCTTTATCTAATCCCATGGAAAAGAATCTTCCTTGAGAAGCTAATAGTTGGCCAACGAATCAAAAATTACTTTGCCTGCTATGAAACAGAGTTAACCAGTGTTTTCATCCACTCTGCCCTAAATCAAATGAATCTATACTATATCTGAACACCCTGCTTACTCAACACCATACAGCAGTTACATCCTATCAATATTAATAATGAATTTCTTTTGGGTCTGTTAAGAGTTTCTGTTTGAGACATCCCAGTGATTTTGCCCACTATTTTAATGGTCGAATTTGGTACATAGAAGTGCAAATTTTCTTGCATATGTGGCGAATTTTCAGAGCTTTCAAACTATATCTCGTAATTATATAGGCTTACATATTTATAAATGTCACCATCAAACACGCCATCTCAGACTGGTCCACCGTCTGCTATGCTAAGCTGGTAAAGTGCTGGACATATGAAGTATATTTCTTATACAGTACTTCTGGAATTATACTTATGTATTGCAAAGTACAGTTGCGAGCAAAATTTACTTGCTCGCTGTTCGATAATAGAGAATTCTAGCTCCGTATAGATAACCATTTGTATCCCTGCAGTCTTTTTGCTCTTTCGATTTCTTGTGGAGTCCCTTCTTTGGAAGCAAAGCATGATGCAACTTGAGTCTTCTTAACAAGTCTCTTGTATATAAGAGCCAGTGCTTTGACGGTATTTCTATGCACTTCAATAACAAGATACTTCAGGAAATCCACTTTCATTTTCATGCCATGAAGCACATAACAACTTCACTGAGTGCTGAGTGTTGACATGAAGGTAGGGACAACTTCTGGTAGTCCCGTGCACTCACTTTAATCCTGGGTATATTAAGAGATCCCGGTTTCATAAGGACTCTCCAGATGAACTCTGTCCTCCGTGCTAGAGCCAGAACGTTTCTCGATCTGCTGGTTCCAACCATGTAGAGCGAAAGATACTCGTTCTATACCGCGCCAAAACTTGACACAGACAAAGTGTGTGGTGGCAGGGCTCCTGCTGCCGTCCACATTTCCTGCACGCAGTTTTCTACAAGAGGTCCGTAACCTGTACGTGTAGTCAAGATGTGCAGTGGCCAGTTACCAGTCTATATTCTCTACGGACAGCAAGAACCTAGACAGTTTTTTTTCCGAAAGCCTTTCAGTAAAGAGTTTCGAGAGCCTCAGTATACACTACAAAATTTAGTGTCTGCATAAGCAGACTACGGCGTCCTCCGCCAGATCAGAGGGTTCCGTGTTGTCCCATGCAGAGAGGAGGGCCGATGAATAAGGTCTATGTTCCTGTTGCTGGCAGCGAACGTTTGTAGCGATCCTGCTTAACCTTTTTGTGCCTTCGTGTTTATGTCACGTGCCAGCAAATCTCATGATTCGAACTCTGTAGATAATTTATGAAAATGAATGACCCGTATATATTTTCTCATGTTATCCAAATTATTTGTCATATTTTCTGTAATTACTCAGCAATTTATTTCACCTTAATAATTGTAAAAAGTGCGACATATTTTCAATGTCACTCCATGTATGTATACATGTACACTCTCACACATTATTAACCCTGACACTGGATGGAACTGAGTGGTCATTTTGAAGCCCTTAGTTTCATATTCAACAGAAAACTGGGTATTATAGGTGAGTGGCCAGCTTCATGCTCAGGTCGCTTTACATCCATTGTAATAGCCACTGGTATCCGTTGCCTGCGTCGGCCCGAGGGCCGAATTGGACGTTTAAAAAAAAAGAGAAATCTCCTGCATACAACATTGCACTAGTTTGATACTGCTAATATATACAAGAACACTAAAAAATTTAAGTTACAGATATGTTCGTGTGACGAAATCAGCTTGCTCTCAGGAGATACAAGAAATGCTACTACGTCGGACCTATGAATACAACAACATTTTCGTAGCGACAATGCACATTTGTAAGAAAAGGAGCCCTTATCTTGTCTGCATTGTCAGGCATTTCCTTAGAATATACAGAACACAAGATTTTACCGATATCTCTTAAACACATATTCTGGCATATTTTCCATTGTTTTGAAAACAATATTCTTCACCTACAAACCAGAAGTGGCAAGAAAATTAAATTTAGAGGAATTCAATAATGTGAAACCGTTAGTAAAATTCACTAGTGAATCAGAAACAATCATTCCCTCAGTTTAAGGATCTGGCGATGTGAATCGTAACATCCCGAAGATGATATATGTCAGTTGTTCGTGGAACTGAATATGGGCCCTAAAGTGTTCAGAATATTTTGGATTTTAGGTTCAAACAGCCTTGACTAAGAAGAGTTTTGTCTTCTCGGATGCAATGTAATGTCCGGTTGTTTTTTTTTTCACTTGCTGTCTGCTTCATGCTGGTTTCTTCGTTGCCTTACTCTTTGACCCTGAAGATGGATATGTTCCTCTGAAACATGGTTGAGTTTCAGCAGTATACACGATGTTATACGCTAGGAGTCATAACCTAGCAACGGTGTTGCATAGTCCAGCTACTGACAGCGTCTTAAAATAGGACACGTAGTAGAGACAAGTAGCGGCACGCACACAGGGAGACTACACAGGATAACACCTATACAGTGTGGAAACAAGAACTAGCCGCTGCAGCACTTTAGACATAGGGCGAGTAACCCTAACAATTTTAAATTTTAAATTTAAAATTTAGAGAAATTTTAAAGGATTTTAAAATTATAACTAAAAGATTTTATAGTGCTACTACAGGAAAATCAAAATTGCCGTGTGCAAAACAATCTACATACCAGACAGATATCAACGCGGTAGATGTTGATAATAACGAAGAAAATAACAATGTGTTTTTTAAATGTTAAATTTTAGACTGGGTTCAGTGTGGCAGCAACGTAAGAGTATACACCTGATGATGGCCGTTAGAGACCGAAACATGTAGTGTGGAAGAGAGCAAGATCAAAGACATATAATATATATTGTTTGCACTTGGGACGGAGTTTGTGTCATTTGTCGTGTAGAGTGCAACAGGATGCTTAAATATAATATTGTCTTAAAATAACCTACCAAAAATAATCTGGCAACACAAAGACATTCTGCAATTACTTTATTTCCCTTAGGCGAGAAATCTCTGGCTCAGTGCAAAGGCAAATAAATTCTAAATAAATGCATTTCTGCATTTGCCAAATATTGTAAAAAAAATACTATATAGTGTATTTGGAAGATATGAGTTCAACTACCAGATTGCCCCATTTTTGTACTTCTAAGTACATTCAGCTTCAATACTAAGTTCCCACATGGGTGTGAGACTCTTGCTTCCGCATCCCATCTCTTCTTCATAAGGCTCGACAGCTTCATTTCTTGAATACTTTGGGCTGCTCAACAATTTCCTTCCAACTACTTCTGTCCTGTGGGCGAGTTATCCAACTATAAATTCCTAAATCCTTTAGATCTTCCCTTACGTCATCTTTCCATAAAGTCTTAACATTTCAGGCTCCTATCACTAATTTACTTTCTTTATTCCTTAGAACTCGCTTCAGTCGTGCCCGTTTCATCTGTTGAGCCTTTTTTTAGCAATTTGATTTTTTACAGTGCAAGGGAACTGGCCGTGCGACTAACCCCCGCTAAGTTTCAGGACCTAGGATTTTCTGTCGGGGTTTACTCCCTTAGCCACTGGGTTCCAATTAAAGCGTCGGGAAATCGCTTTTCGCCCTTCTATACTCTGCCCTTCCGGGGAACGTTGCCCGGGGACTACGATGAGGACGTGGTATGGATAGGCCTTAGCAGGAGTAACTGACGTCACCCAGTTTTCTAGTGAGGCACAGTCCCTGGCCGGCTGCACGTCCTGGGGTCACACATTGCTCCTTTAGCCCTTTCCGCATCCTATCACTCATGTGTATTAATGGAAGGGCCCTTGAACACTTGTGTACCGGCTACTGTTGCCAGAAGCAGCTCGAGAATACTCACTCTTCGGGGTGAATACTGTGTGTCTGGGATCAAAGGAGATAGACTGAGAGGCAGAGTAATGCTTATAAAACAACTGCCCTATTATTACCAAGTGTAGTCAAATGAAGGACAGGCTCAGTACATAAAGCGGAAAAAGAAAAAATCCATAACATGTTTTGTACGAAGCGGTCGTTGCCCTTTCAGACAGAAGTCACAGGGAAAGTCGATATTTAGGGGAATGAAGATTGTCTCTACAGTACAGGAATGTGGCCGACGTATTGCACCTTCTCTCTCGTTCTTCCTCTCCTTTCCCCATCCCCCGTCTTCTGTTCCTTATCCTCTTGTCCAGCTCATTGTCATATTCTGCGTATTATCTTTTACTTCTCCGTCTTCTTCCACATCATTCTCTTACCCGTGCTCTTGCCTTCACCTCACCCCGATGTGCTTTTCCTCCGTCGTCTCCTTTTATTTCTTATCCTCCCATTCATTCTCTACCTTCTTTCTTTTATACTTATTCTTCCTCGCTATCTTCTTCTGTAACCTTCCGGTCAGCATAGTTGTAGGTTCAGGGCCTGAAAGGAAAAATGATTGCCTTGACTATGGGAGGATAATATTAATTTGAATAGTAGAAAACGGATTCTTAGCCTGTAGATTGCATTTAAAAGCCTCAGGATTGTTTAGAATTACACCATTTAAATTGTGTATTGCCAGTCACGGTAGCCGAGCGGTCTAAGGCATGTACTGTTTTCGCTCGCTTGGAAACCGGGATCGTGGGTTCAAATCCCACTCAGGGCATGGATGTTTAGTTTGTGTGTGTGTGCGTTTTTCTGTGTTTGTGTACAGTTAGAGGCATTGCGACGAGCTGATCATCCGCCCAAGAAGTTTTACTGAATGTGTAAGATCTAGAAAAACCGAAGTGAAGGGAGAAGCTCATGGAGGTAGGCCTAGGCCAACTGGGGCTGTAGTACCAAGGAAAAAAAATGTTTGTTATATTAGGAAAGAGCGATAATTATCTGAATAATGTGCTTATTACTAAATTATCTGCAATAATACAAGGAAGTTGCGCTATTTTCGCTTAGTGCCCCTGCCTCTTTCTGAAAGACTGACTCGGCTACTAACAGATGTGAGGTTATACCGCACAAAAGGGAAAATCGGTGATAAGTTGGACACATTTATCGACGTGACTCTGATACAGAGAGCCTGCTCATAACAATTCTGCAATTGCAAAGTTGTGCAATGCCAGCATGTTCGTACTGAATGAACCTGCTTCACGTGAGATTTGCATGATTAATAACTAATTGGGAAATTAACCAATATCAAATTGCTAAGACACCATACTAAACGGCTGACTGAGTGGATATGACTGTAGTTTATAAGTCCTAGCTGCAGGAAAGTCTGTTTCTGAGATTAAAGTGCACAACGCATAAGAAGCTGAAAGCCGGCAACCGTTTGTGAATATCCACAGTGGACCGCACTACATTCACAGCGAGGCTCACTTCGGCTGATTCTCCTTACAGCTCAAATTCTTCAGAAATGCAGGTATAATTTATATACAGATTATGAATCTATTTGTTTGTGTCATAATTAATTTTAAATTATGTGGTTAACGTTAAAAATAAATAATTCGAATCGTCAACGAATGATCTCGTCCATCTTCAGGCGCTCTACGGGCAAGCAGCCAAATTACTAGAGGCTCTACAGCACTGAGCAACAATTTATTTCATACGATGTATTTCGGTGTACAATTCAACTTATTAGTCCCTTTCCTTCTCACAATATATTTCGGCCGTACGCGCCCATTTTCAGGTGTTTCTAATCCGCTAAAATTGTTGCACTGTATGGTATGTCCAACATATCAAATGTGAATAGGATATCTCTTTAACTTAAAATTAATGGAACTTAATTAAACTCAGTAAAAACCAGTTAAATTTAGTTATGTAAAATTTGAGGTTTTCACGGCGGTGACTATGAAGAATGCCGTCATCTGGGATGTGGCGCCGTGTAGATATTTTGTTAGCCCACGCTTCGTAGGAACGTGAAACCTACTCACGCTGTTTCATCGCTAGCGGATATTTCATACCCTGAAGATGGAGGAGATATATTCCTGCGAAACGTGGGTTAACAAAATATCTACAAGGCGCCACATCCTAGAAGACGGCATTCTTCAAATTTGGTTAAAATTCCAATATTTTGCTTGAGGTCGTCGTCTCTTCATCCAAACTACTTTGTCTTAGGTCAGCTTGTTTGGATTTATTTGCGCCTTTGACTATCAAAGGGGCCTACGTGATATCTACACCAACATACTTTGGATCTAAGCCATAACACACAAACACCCACGCCGCTGCGCAAATAAATCCAAACAGACCTCAAACAAAGTTATTTGGATGACGAGACGACGACCTCAAGAAAAATATTGGAATCGTAACTAAATTGTAACTAGTTTCATTGAGTTTAATTAAGGTCCATTTATTTTAAGTCAAGCGATATTACATTCACATATGATATGAGAAGTTGGACAATTTTAGCGAATTACAGACACCTGATAATGTGCCGTGTACGGCCGAAATATATTGGGAGAAGGAAAGGGGACAGTAATAAGTTGCATTGTGCACAAAAATATATTGAATGAAATATACTGTAGCGTGCTATCTTACGGCCATCGCCGCGCAACGGCCACAATAGGAAGTTAACAGCCTATAATGAGCCTCCACGGTTACGACGAATACGCGGAGAGTTCCCACAGAGACAACGCAATAACAGTGGGCCGTTGCCCACGAAGCAGCGTTTCCCCGGTGATAGACAACAGAAGGTTCACTGCGTAGCAACGGCCGCGGATATATAAGGTAATGCATTCGCCGTGTCAGTATTGGGATAGCCGCCGCCGAAGACAGTTGAGATCCAACCACGGACAAGGATAGTCGAGACGTCGCATTGGGGTACTGGGCCAATAGCCAAGTGATACTGCAAGTGGTAATAATTGTATGGTGTATAAGTGTGAGTGTCCAATAAAGATTCGCTAAATCCGAGACCCACGTAAAGTTATTTGTCGCGTATCATACCCAGCACGTGACAATATCATATATTAATGCAACAGGATGCTTAAACAAAATATACTGATGAATAACCCGAGACCTTGGGCCGTATACGGCATGCCAGCATTTTTAGGCTGCCCACAACTGTAAATGGTACGTGGTATATAGATTGTGTTCAAATGCACATTCTAGTGTTGCTCAACTCACACATTGGCGCAGCATATAAACTCTCAGTACTTATCCATTCACATTGAATATTTGTGGGATGAAGGATTTTCGTTTCATGAAAAAACGTTTTGGTCATATCTAGTTATGTTTTGTCTGCCCTAAACATCCAACTAGCTGCTGAGAGGCAGATCAGGTAAAAATTAATTATGTTGTCGAATTTTGTGGTAGTCGAAATGTGAGAGTGGTTTAGGAGCTCCAGAAGTTATTCACAGGCAGCTATGTGGACTTAGATCGGAACAGAGCATTGTACCAGACATTTGCTAGCCCCTTAGAAACGTCATATGGAGACAATTTACAGCTCAAACTAATCGACTTCCACAGCAACAAGTGATAATATTATGTCCAAATTCAAAAGGGCGGTTTGCGTAAGTTTTATTAATTTCTTCCTAAAGAAAATATCGAAATCTGCGGCAGAGGTGGCTGCTGTTGCAAGCCTGTCCAAAAGCACTGTCGCTGCTGGGGATCGATGCGAGTTCCACGCAACGGAACTGGCGCACAGATGAACTCTCACGTCAGTCCATCTCTCATCTTGAAAAGTCTGGCATCAGCGCTAAAGGCTCAAATGTTACGTTTTTTTTTTTTTAATTGGCTTAGTGGGGGGGTTGAGTCCACTGATTGGCCTATTGTAGCCTGCCCCGGATGATTATGATGATGGAGAATTTGGTGGAATGAAGATTTGCAGGGTAAACCGAAGTACTCGGAGAAAACCCGCCCTAGCGCCACTTTTTCCAGCACAAATCCTACTTAACCAGACCCGGGATCGAACCCCGGCCGCCGCGGTGGGAAGCCAGCGCTAACCGCTTGAGCTATGGCGCGGCCTCAAATGTTACGTTACTAAGTTCTTGTAATTTTATTACTCGTAAACAGCCCAATTTTTCATTTACATAATTTTCTATTTACTTTAGTTTTTCATTTTTTCTACCACAATGTTTTATAAAGTAAGTACTTAAAAAAGGCCGCGCCGTAGCTCAGGCGGTTAGTCGCCGGCTTCCCACAGCGGTGGCCAGGGTTAGAGCCCGGGTCAGATCATGTAGTATTTGTGATGGAAAAAGTGGTGCTGGGGCAGGTTTTCTCCGAGTACTTATCGTCCCTCTGTCAATTCTCATTCCACCGCACTCATCAACGTCTACATTCTGGGGCTGGTATAATAGGCCAAATAGTGGCCGACGTACCAAGTGGACTCAGTCTCCCCCCCCCCTTAAGAAATTTAAAAATAAAATGAAAATATACTTCAAAATTCCCATTTGGCATTTCTTACAGAAATACGTACATAGTTCCAGTGTTTCTAATAATAACAACAAATACAAATTTGGCTGCTTATTAAGTCTGCATCCTGAAGCCGGCCGACAAAGGGCATGTAGACAATGTGGAGCTTTGAAAGGAAAGGTTTTGCATCAATGCTGCACACACACAAGGGCCTATACCGGTCGATCTTGCGGCTCTAGCCCCTTTATAGCAGCCGGTCGAAATGCTCACCGAAGCCATGAGTACGTAAAAACCTGAAGCAGGCGCTTCGATCTATGAGTAGGCCAAATAACATACGCATCGATTCATTTTTTCGTGTTGTTTTGGGAACTACTGAATAATTAGGACCAGAGACACAACAACGTAACCAATTCCATGGCGTGACTGACTGAATACCTAAGTAATCATGCAGCTGTGTACTTGACTACCTCTCTACCCACCCATCTAACTACAGAACCCAGAACTGAGTACTCATGCAAGTAACCATTTATTCAACCAAGTAAAATTTATAACATCACGGTAGCCGAGCGGTCTAAGGCATGTACTGTCTTCGCTCGCTTGGAAACCGGAATCGTGGGTTCGAATCCCACTCAGAGCATGGATGTTTAGTTTGTGTGTACGTTTTTCTGTGTTTGTGTATAGGCATAGTGCTTGCGACGAGCTGATCACCCGCCCAAGGAGTCCTACCGAATGTGTAAGATCTAGAAAAACCGAAGTGAACGGAGAAGTTCATGGAGGTAGGCCTAGGCCAACTGGGGCTGTAGTGCCAAGGGGGGAAACACGTTTATGACAAGCTAACTAAATAACTAACGCATAACTAAATAAAACTAGGTAACCAATTAACTGCTGCATTATCTGGTAAGTACTGAAAGAATCAACGCTGCTTATATCATAGCACGATAACGGCACTTCAACTTTGCTTGCTCTGTTCAGAGGTATGAATGGTTGGAGTAGTTGAGTCGACTTCATTTACTCGCTTGCTCAGTTTGCCCTCTAAGATTCTAAGATTTCTGCTTTCCCACGTAGTTCTCTGCACATTCCACCCATCCGAATACGCGTTTTTTTTT